CCACCTAAAGAAAACCGGGGAATAGGGGGATTTCCCAATATCAAGTCAGTGAAAGAAATATCAGTCAAAGGAGACCATCTGGAATGATGAAAAAAAAAAAAAAGGAGTCCGTTTATCTGTCAGAATAGCTGGCCAAGAGGTAGACAGGAAGAGTTCTAACAATATCCATTCAATGGAGGGATTTCTCTTTAGGATGAACCAGAAGAGGACAGAGAGATGGAAGATCAATGTCCTTTTTAAAGTTGAAGTAAGAAGCTACCTTAGGAAGAAAAGAGGCTCTGGGAAAGACCCTTATCTAGCAAAGGTGATGGCAAGGAGGAAATCGACTTTAAGAGGTAGATTAGACAAAGGGATATCTCTAACAGGTTCAAAAGGAGGTCTTTTAAGAGCCAAGGGAACCTAATTGTCAATGGGGGCTGTAGGGTGGGATTAGTGAGTACAGTATATTGTACATAGGTCTTGATGATGAGTAAATTATTATTATTATACAGTATTTATAAAGCGCCAACAGTTCGCTCAGTGCTGTACAATATAATGGGAGACAATACATGCGACAGTACAATAACAATACAATGCGATATACGAGGGGCTCGAGGGCCCTGCTCCTTGGAGCTTACAATCTAGGAAGGAGGGGATAGTGGTACAGGAGGAAAAGCTGTGGGGGATGGGGTGGTAGGAAGAGTGGAGGAGGTCAGCAATTAGCAGGGGGTGGGGTAGGCTTTCCTGAAGAGGTGAGTTTTCAGGGTGCTCCTAAAGGAGAGGAGAGTAGGTGATAGTCTGATGGATTGGGGTAGGGAGTTCCAGAGGATGGGTGACGCCCTGGAGAAGTCCTGTAGGCGGGCATGGGAGGAAGAGACCAGGGAACTAGAGAGAAGGAGGTCTTGTGAGGAGCGGAGAGTGCGTTTTGGGTGGTATTTGGATATTAGGTCGGTGATGTAGTTTGGGGCAGTATGATGGACAGCTTTGTATGTCAGTGTTAGGATTTTGAATTTGATACGTTGGGCAATCGGAAGCCAGTGGAAGGATGGCAGAGGGGGGTGGCGGAAACGGAGCGGTTGGTAAGGTGGATGAGTCTGGCCGCAGAATTCAGGATAGACTGAAGTGGGGATAGCCAGTGGCGAGGCAGGCCAGTGAGGAGGGAGTTGCACTAATCGAGTCGTGATATGATGAGGGAGTGGATGAGCTGCTTAGTAGTTTCTGGGGTTAGGAACGTGCGTATTTTGGCGATGTTGCCAAAAATAAAGAAAATACAAAGCAAAAGGCCTTTTGCATACAATTGTGAGTGCTGAAATCTGTTCCTTGATGGTATTCAAGTCCAAATGTTGAATTAGTCTGGACTGTGGAAAGGTTCTGTCCCACAGAGTATTTCCTAGGATGAAATTTTCTTACCTTGAATCAGGCAAAATTAAACTAAGTACACATGGGCCGAATATCAGGTGGTATCGGCCAGTTCACAGAAACCAGGCAATATTCGACCTGTGTGTACGTCAGCCTTTCCAACAGAAGCCAGCTGAAGGTCCGGTTTCTGTCAAAGGGGCATGACTGAAAAAGGTCTGCTGATTGGCTTCCGATCAGCGCTTTCAGACAATGGCTGAGAGCACTGACCGGTGTGTTCTGGTGGGGGGGCAGACAATAGCACAGGGGGAGATCGCTGTACTAACACCACTTGTACAGTGATCTGTCAGGTTTTTTTTATTCAGCTGTGTGTACAAAGCTTAAGTCTTCAATGTGCGATGGTATACCTTACACATTGTGAACTTCCTAGCTTCAGGTGTGAGGGCATGATAAATTCATAAAGATCCCTATAATTCTTAGAACCTGGGCTTCAACAACTAAGCCATCAAAGCCAGCAACTGTAAAGTAAGGACGTAAACTGGACCTTGGGACAGAAGATGGATGGCAGATTGCAATGATACCATGGAGCCACCAGGGCATACACAGTTTCAGCCTGGGTATACTTGCATCTTGAGACAAACCTGTCCAATTTGTTGTTAAATCTAGAGGCCAAGAAGTCCATATCCTGTATCCTTCACTTGAGACACAGGTTCTGGACCATCCCCCCAAATACAGACACTGATGGCCGAGGTTGGTTGCTTGCCAAAGGTCTATGCCTGGAATGTGGACCTTGAATAAGTTCTGTCTAAGATAGAATCTGTTATGCTTCTCTATTATTATGTTCCTCTAAGACGACTGATGTACACCACAGCTGTGGTATTGCTTGACATTTAACAGATGAACCTGATCACCACTGGAATCCAAAAATCACATGTATATAAAAACTTCAAACCGCTATAAAAACTGTTAGCCAAGTACAATATACCTGCAAGAGCCACTGACCATAGGACTGTGCTGTGAATAAATCACTGCTGTTTTGAAGCAACACCTTGGACTCAAGTGGTTCAAGTTGCAATAAATAAAGTTACTTAGTAGATTCAATTTAAATTTCAAACAAATTTAAACGATAAACTAAACATGCAAAAAAGGAAGAGCATAGAAAATCGGTAGGTTACAATCAGACTCAGTATTCTCAGGCAAAAGAAGAGATTTGGATGGCTCCTGGACTGTAAAGACCAAATCTAGGAGCAAAGAGTTAGGAGTTTTTCTTGAGGAAGATCAACATATTTCAGTGTTGAGTCAGTTCCAGTGCCGACTAAAGCTTCAGGATCCAACTAAATCTTCACAAAGTCTGAACAGTCCTGCTGACAACGTCTGACATAATCTGTGCTGACTTGTCTCTCAAGAGGAGATTGTCCAGTTATCCCACTATGGGGATGTCCTTTGATTGTTACAAGGTTAGCAACAGAGCAAGAACCTTGGTTAAAACTCATGGTGCAGAACAGAGACCAAAATGAAGGGTGGTGGTAGTGTTGTGTGCCCACACAGATGCACAGGAAACCTTGATGCACTGGAAATATGATAACAACAAATATGAGGTCAACAAAGGCCAGAAAATCTCCCAGATGAATGACCAACCTCTTGGATTTCATGCAGAATTTTGTGTACTCGAATGAAGACATTAAGTGCTTTAAGATGCCCCCTTTGGCTTTGGGAATATTGAACAGGTTTCAGTAAAAACCTTGAAAACGTGAGGAACAATGGCAGTGACACCTTGATTCAGGGGTCTGATCAAGGCAACATGCAGATCTGTATACAAATGGTACTGTGCAACAGTAGGGACTGCTGCTAACACCTATCACTCTCTAACTAGAATGTGTAAAAATTTATATAAGGGTGTAGTGCTGTTCCTTAAGTAAGTAAGTGTTATGGACACCTCACAGAAGTGTGTGTAAACCTGCAATACACTGTAGGATGGGTTCTGATCCCTATATCATTATTGATGCACGGTCCATTGTATACTGTTTATATTATCAGTTATTGGTATTGTTTCACAGCATCTCTCTTTTTAAGGGGGGAGGTGCACCATAGCACCACACACAATTTGTATTTCTATATTCCCTGCACATTGTATATTTGCATTCATATATGGTATTCCCCTTGGGGGAGGGGTACTTGGCATTGCATCCAGGTGCACCATCCACAGGGAGAAAAATTTGTTTATTCTTTTTCACTTAGTTGAGGAGGTTTTTGTTTTGATTTTTTTGTTGGTTTCCGCTTACCCACCTGGTCCACTCACATCACATTAGAGTGCCCTGTAGGACTCCCTAGGAGTACCTTCTTCTACATCTTACCCATATTATATTCTGATTAATTTAGGAGGGGGAAAGTATCCTGAAGTACAACATGGTTTTTGTGATCTAGGGATCAGAACCCATCCTACAGTGTATTGCAGGTTTACACACACTTCTGTGAGGTGTCAGTACCACTTAATGACTTTAGGAACAGCGCTACATCCTTATATTCATTTTTAAACATGGAGATCTGATGTCTTTGCGGAGAAGTTGGCAGATTTGACAACAGAATGTGGGGCAGAGGCAGAGATTGAAAGTCTAGCTTGTAGTACCTGGACACCACATCTTTTACCATAGCATTGAAAACACTGTTGGCCCACATATCCACAAAGGCGGGTAATAGGCTATTTTGGAAAGTGGGGGTGTCCTGAAATTGTGAGGAGGATGTATGCACAGGCTGAAGGACTTTAGGACCGAACTGGGTCCCAGATTTTGGCCTGGACTTAAAGGACTGGGATAAATGAAAAGAACTTCAGAGTTTGAATGAAAATTACATGTTGGAGGCTATTATTTCATTTGTGGTGATGAAAAGGTACTTTTACCACCAGTGACCTTTTTTGATAAAACTTGTTGATGGAAATCCCAAAGATACATTCTCCATTGAAAGGCATGCAAAGTAATCATATTTTAAAATTGTTGTTCTGCAGGCTAGTGTTTGAGCCAGACAGTCTTCCATATATTTAAAGACAAGACACAAATTTGGAAAATGAGATGACAATGTCTACCAACCCATCAACACAAGTGTAATGCAGTGGGCATACGCTGCAAACACTCCATAACTGAATGAGGAGTAGGGATGGCTTCAAGTTGTTTAGATATGTCTTTGGACCATACCATCAGGGTTTGGCAAACAGCTATTATCACAACTACTAGTTGCAGGGTAGGGCCTACTATGGAAAACAAGGAAATTCTAGATGCTTGTAAACTTGGTATTTAACCACTAGCCTACAGGGCACTTATACCCTCTTCTTGCCCAGGCCAATTTCCAGCTTTCAGCGCTGTCACACTTTGAATGACAATTACGTGGTCATGCAACACTTTACCCATATGAAATTTTTATCATTTTTTTTGTGACAGATAGAGCTTTATTTTGGTGGTATTTAATCACCTCTGGATTTTTTCTTTTTTCTTAAACAAACCAAAAACCACTGAAAAGTTTGAAAAAAAAAGTTTTTTCCTAGTTTTTGTTATAAAATTTTGTAAATAAGTGATTTTTCTCCTTCACTGATGTGCGCTGAGGCTGCAGTGATGGGCACTGATAGGCTGCACTGATAGACACTGATAGGTGGCACAGATGGGCATTGACAGGCATCACTGATGGGCACTGAAAGGCGGCACTGACTTGCACTGTTAGGCGGCACTGATGCACACTGATAGGTGGCACTGATTGGCAGCACTGATAGGTGGCAGTGACTGGCATTGATGGGTGACACTGAAAGGCAGCTCAGATGGGCACTGATATGTGGCATTTATGTGGCACTGATGGGCACTGGCAGGTGGCATGGATGAGCACTGAGAGCTGGCACTGATGGACACCGACAGGTGGCACTGCTGGGGCTACACAGATCATCAGGGCACACTGATCATTTGTGCCCTGATGATCTGTGTACATGTCCCCTCCAAGAAATGCCGATTACTGGCTCTCCTCTCCTCACGAGCTGTCAGCGTGACAGCTCGTGGGGAGAGAACTGCCGATAACCGGCATTTCCCTGTTTACACACCTGATCACATGACCGACATCTTTGGCTCTTTCCGTGGATCGGTGATCCGCTGTGTCCGAGGGACACGGCACACCGCCGATCGCCGCGTGCGTGCTCCGGGAGCCGCGCATGCACGGTTAGAATGGGAGGACGTGATATGACATCCTCCCAGGAGAGAAGCACCTTGCGTCCATCATATTACTATATGGCGGGCAGGAGGCTGTTAGACACCAGACTATCCTCAAAAGGTACAGTCAAAGTCTTGTTTATGCAAGAAATGGCTGGGTCCACAAAGGGAACAGTTCATTTGTCTTTGTAGACCCAGTCAGACTGTACCTCTTGAGGATGAGATTGAAGAATAAAGCATTTCTGGAGAACAAATACTTTGTCAGGAGTAATCCAGTCTCCATACAAATTTGGTGTCAGTACTGAATGTACCGACAAAGTTTTGACAGTCTTGGTACGTGTAAGGGAGCTCGGACTCGGAACAGGATTGTTTCAGACACACGTTGCTCCAGTTTTAACCACTTGCCCTCCTGAGGATTTACCCCCCCCCCTCCGAGGCCATTGTTTTTGTTACGGCACTGCGTTATTTTAATTGATAATTGTGTGGTCATGCAACACTGCACCCAAATGAAATTTACGTCCTTTTTTTCCCATGAATTGAGCTTTCTTTCAGTGGTATTTGATCGCCTGTGCATTTTTTATGCTATAGAAAAAAAAAAAAGACTGACATTTTTGAGAAAAATAAAAACAATATTTTTGACTTTTTGCTATGTCCAGTAAAACAATTAAAAAAAATCTAATTTTGTAATAAATTTAGGCCAAAATGTATTCTGCTACGTCTTTGCTAAAAAAAAAAAAAAAAAAAAAAAAAAAAAAATCCCAATACATGTAAATAAATTGGTTTACGTGAAAGTTATAGCATGTACAAAAGGCGGTATATATACTGGGATTTTTCTTTTTTTTTTTTTTTTTTTTTTTGCTGTGCACAGCCATCCAAAGCAGTCTAACAGGAGGAGAATAGTTTTGTTTCCAAACAGTTCTCCTCCCTGTTGGAGATGCTCGGTAATCACCGGCCAGGACCCAGTGATTGACAGCCACAGCAGCGAATGATGGCACGGGTAGGGCTCATGTGTGCCCCCTACCCGGAAATGCGAAATCACATATATATATATATATATATATATATATATATATATACACACACACACACACACGTGATTTTGTGCATCCGTGCAGCCCTGTAGCAGTATATCTGCTATAGGGCAGTCGGGAAGCGGTTAAACATGTATGTCAATATGAATACGTCAATAAGAACTGAAATGGTATCTTTATGGTCTAGGCGTTATGTCATCAAACTGAGGTTTCACTGGCACAAATTCATCCAAAAAGAATACCAGGATTCCTCTTCATCCAAAGCCAACTGCGCCATGGCTGCAGCAGCTGCCTGATTGTTAGAAATGGCTTCTGAAGGAGTAGCACACTTAAAGCCCCTCTGCTGAGTCTGTTATCATATCAAAAATTTTGGTTATAAAAGGCTTCATAGCAGAAAATGCTCACACCTAGGGAGAGCAACAATTGAAGTAGGGAAGATAAGGAATGAATAGACTTTGTACTTAGGATATACTGTAACGTACTGTGGTAAAATTAGGTAATACACAGCAGAAAAACAATCCAAGGTAAACTCGTGTCCCTTGCAAGCAGAGCACTAGATGTAATCTACCATTTACTGAATGGCACACGTGACAGAAAACGGAATTATCTAGTTTGATAACCCTTTCAGTGAATAACAGGAGAAATGAGAAAATGTGCCATGCACATTAGGGGACAAGCCCCAGGACTCACCACAGGTGTCTGAGTAGCACCACAAGCAGAGCTCAGTACCAGAAGGTCAAATCAGAGGCTAGCTCAGCGCTATCCTCAATCTAGTGGGTTTTGGGTACAGCCTCTTGGAAGGTGCCAAGTCCCAGTTTAGCAGCATAATGAAGAATTTTGATTGAAAAAAAAAAATAGTATTTATAAAACTGTCTAGAATAAATGGGTTTACCTTTCTCTGAAGAAAAAAATGTCCATCCACTAGCAAAAAAGTAATGGAAGGCATTATAACTGATTGGTCAGTGTTTTTTTTTTTTTTTTTTTTGTTTATGATTGCTCAATTCCTCCTAAAGACAACAATATAACCAAATGTTCCTGAAATCTACCGATCTTGTGTCCCTAAAGAATGAATAAGGAATGCTTTTCCATAATATAGTTCTGCAAATATTCAAACCATTGTATACACATACCATGCTATCAAAACCTAGAGTCCAGAAATGCTCATTGCGAACTTCCAGAACCCCATCCAGAGTTGAAACCTGTTCAGCATGAAAAAAATCAAATCATTAGCCAGTTTTGGAGCTTAAGCAAACAAAAACACCAGAACTTAATCCAAGAACTTCTTCCCTCTGCAGCAGCCATTGTGTAATCAGAGTTCACTGGAACTGACTGTTAATTGGACAGTCAAGTCACAGTCTGTGTCTCAGGACTGCAGACAAAAACCCTTTTAAAACTTCAGTTCATTGACAAACTGTAACACAAAGGTACATAATAGTTCAATTCACAAAATGTTAAGGTGACACTGTAGCCAAAATCAAAAATAATATTAAGTCTGTTAGAAGCATTAACACAAAATCAAAACAAACCCAAAAGCAAAAATGTCACATATTGAAGTTTACCAGTCCTTAGATTTGATGGCTGCATTAGTTTTCTTATTTAGGCTTTTCCACTTTTTTTTCACCTGGCGATCTTGCCAGTAATTTTTGTTTTTATTTTCAACTTCCTTTAACAGACCAAGCTGTCCAGCAAAAGTAGCAGTTAGATTGTTGAGACAAACCATGTAACACTGACAGGGGTGCTAACAGTGGTCAGCTTTTATTGATAAAATTAGAACCTTTATCACAAGAGGAACAAAAACTAGTTCTGTGACTGCTTAAAAAGCATTAGCTGAAGTTAGGCTTTAATTTGAACAACACTTATGTAAAGTCCATCCAACACATCGCTGTCCCCAGATTGAGAACACTGCTGCTGGAGGGAGGCTATGTTGCTCCTACATAGTTACAATGGGGGAGAGAGCATAGCCACCCTAAAGGCAACTTTCATACTGATCTGCCGCAAAAACGTGTAGGTGTTTTTACTGCGCTTTCTGAGCGTTTTTAAAGGGCGCGTGCCTTAAAAACTACACCAAAAACGCTTCTCAGAGGCATTTTTGAAGCGCTTTTCAGGCGTTTTCCATTGATTTCAACAGGAAGAGGCGTTTTTGGAGCTTTTGTTAACTCACCAAACATGCCCCAAAGATGCTGCAAGTTTTTACACTGCACCGCAGGTGCAACACCTCAGTGTGAAAACATACATAGATATACATTCACATACATAGGGAAGCATTTGTCTTGAACTTTTCAAACGCTTTTTTTAATGCAAAAACGCTTCAAAAACTCCTCATTGTGAAAGCAGCCTTAGACAGAAATTGCGTCACTGGCTGATTAAGCAGGAGGGAAAAAAAAGGCTAAAAAGAAAACCAATTCAACCACCACGTCTAAAGATTTGTAAGTTGCAATATAACATTTTTAGTTTTGGGGTTAGATAGCACTACTGAAAATTAAAAAGACAAAAAACAAAAAAAACAAGCTTTCCTCCCTTCTGCCCTTAGCTTGATTTTTTCATTTTATTTTTATCAAAGTTGCATTATTTGCATTTTGTTTTGTTTATTTTTTGTACACTCTAAAAAAATGAACTTTGCCATGTTTTGTAATTGTTGTCATTGTAAACTAACATAAGCATATTAAAAGAAAACAGTGCACTTTTGTAAGACAATAGTGCTACAAAAAAGCCCTTTTTGTTCTGAATATTATTGATATATGTGCTCTAGCAGCAATAATAACAAATACAAAGTTATTGTGGAATCAATAGGCCATACCTGAGGTGTAAAAACTGCCTTTTTCCATAAAAAATATGCAGTAGGGGAAATGCTTAATGGCCAAAAGTAACAAGGCATATGGCATTCACCAGTTTACCCATTTCCTAGGACAACATTGTTTTGATGTATAAATGGTTGAAATCTGAATACATTTCACAGTATATTATGGTGTTTCCACCAGTTTGCGTTCACATACCTCTCGAAGAAGCTTATCTAGCTGGCCAATCACATGAGGAGGCGTAGTCTGCAAATGAAAACAGGAATTAAATGTTAATAGACAAACTTTTTTGTGCATTCTTTAATTTTCAGATTAAGGCTCCAGTCATGCATATGTACTGCATATGAATTCAATGCATCATACAGAAACAGCCAACACACTGCAGCACACCACAGTGCCCAAACCATGCATTATTGTGCATTGCGCCATACAACAGATGGCTATGTGTTTTAAGATCTGCTGCAGTGCATTGGCAGCCAATTTATAACAAATGGGCTGCCTTAACATACGCAACACAATAGACTGCATATGCTTGAATCTGCCCCTAATAGTTCTAGACATCTACAAAAACATTTAATCCTAGGTACTCATAGTAGTAGCAAGTAGGTTCATTCATGGTGAACTGTGATCTTTTTGGCAATAATTGGATACACATGTAAAAGAATCAACTTAATGTAATTATCATAAATGTGTGCTGATGTATCAAAAATTGGCGGTTCAGCAGGACCGGCTGAGATTAGATCCATCAATGGGCAGGCTGGTGGTACTCAAGTCAATCCACTGATCAACTTGGGTACAACAAGCCTGTTGGATTATTTTTACATGCGATGATATAAAGTCATTTTATACCTGATAACCTCAGTTTCACAATTACTGACCCTACTGATCCTATATATATATATATATATATATATATATATATATATTTTTTTTTTTTTTTTTTTACAATTTACACAGCGCTTTACATATATATTGTACATTCACATCAGTCCCTGCTCTCAAGGAGCTTACAAACCAAGGTCACGAACGCATATTCATACATACACATATTAGGGCCAATTTAGACAGGTGCCACTGAACCTACCAGCATGTCTCTAGAGCAGGGGACTCCAAACTATGGCCCTCCAGGTGTTGAGGAACTGCAAGTCCCATGAGGCCTTGCAAGACT